GTAATAAAACATATTTTCGAATAGAAACCATGCAGGTATTTTATTGGGATAGAACAGGCGAATAAATAGTATAAACGTCTATAGGCGAAACCGAGTTTTAAAGCATTGCCACGTTTTGTTTAAAAGTCCTGAATTCATGCTAAAAGATCTTTTTTCTACCAGAAAGAATTAGAAGTCTTAATGGCTAAAGCGCCAGAAATAGTAAGTGGTTTATTGATTATATAAATTTGAAATATTATTGAAAAATCGGAGAACTTCTTTTTTATATGATATATATAAAAAAGTATTATGATATTAATATCGATAGTTAATATTTAAATTGTAATCTATTGATATAAAACTATTTTTTTAAATAGTATGGAAATATTTAAAAATCTTMTTGTATTTATTTTTGGGCGTAGGCTAAACTGGAAATTGGTGAGAAGTTTTCTTCATATGAGGCCTTGGAAATCGCCGCCAGGAAACACGAGGAAGCACATGGGTGCAAAATAATAAAAAAAAAWTCCAAAACAATAAAAAAACAAAAAAAGAAAAACCAAAAACCAAAAAATACCCTATTTTATACGGCAGTAACTTTCAAATGCAAACGCACACAAAGGTAATTGACTGTTCTTGTTTTGATTCATAGTAAAGCATTAGATATAAGTCAATAAAATGCTGGTTGATTTTAATTGCAGATCACATGAAATAGACTCGGCGTGGCGGCCTTTACTGATCAAAGTAAAACTGTCCAGCGACCACCAAAGTCTCGAAGTTAGAGAAGTTCAAGTAATAATTTCCTTGAAACACTTTTTTATTAGTAGTGAACAGCATAGTATTATTCAGTTAAAGACAATTCTATCAAAATTGCTTGATTAATACTACCAGAAACCTGTAAAGGACTTGAAGCGTGTAGCGCCCGTACATTTCTTTAGTACCAAGCATATTCAAAGTTCATTAAAAATTGGAAAACCAACGTTATGACCATATTTGGAAAATTGGGCCATTTGATAAGAGATTTAAGGCCCGTTCTGGTTGGCTAAAGGGTAAATTTAATTGTTCCAAATAAGGAAATGAGATGCAAATTAGATTTGAATATTCCAACGGTTGGCACGGCGTTACACGTTTCAAGTTCCTTATATGTTTCTAATACTACTGAAGCCGCCTTTGCAGGCGAATCTTCATCATGAGATTCTAAGTCAAAAGCCAGCAGTTGGGTTTGGGAGGCGGTTACAAAGGGAGGAAAATCAGGTGTTGTTCTCAACACCAGTTCTTCTCGGTCAACTACTATCAAAACAGGAAGCCATTACATGAAACTGTGTTTCCTCTGGAGTAGCTTGCAGCAAAGTAGGATAGATTCAAACCTAGTTTCTGTGCACAGTCTATGGTCCCAAGGGTTAAATCAGTTGAAGTATAATGATTGAAGTTTAATAATCTGGTTCGGGTCTCACAGCCTGTGCGCGCTGTCAAAC